AGTGAAGGTCCATCCAGTCCATTATCCTGTCTCACACAGAGTTCCTCTGGACAGCTAGCAGCAGTTTATAGAGGAAGAAGCCTTCCCTTGATGTTGCCTCCTGGCTCTGGGATTCAGAGGTTTAGTGCCTCTGAATGTGGAGGTTCCCCTCAGCCACCATGGCCAGTAGCCATTGATAGACTTATACTCCATGAATCTATCTAATCCCCTTTTCAAATTGTTGATTCCCGTGGCCATCGCTACATCCTCTGGCAGCGAATTCCACATTTTAATCACTCTGTGTAAAGTAGTATTTCCTTTTGTCCATCCTGAACCTACTGCCCATCAGGTTATTTGGAAGCCCTGGAGTTCTAGTGTTTGGGGAGAGGAAGGAAAAGGTTCTCTTTGTCAAGTCTCTCCACCCCATTCATAATTTGATAAACCTCTATCATGTCCCCCCTTAGTCGTCTCTTTTCTAAACTGAAACGTCCCAGGCTCTTCAGCCTTTCCTCACAGGGAAAGCGCTCCATATTGGTTGCCCTCCTCTGTAATTTTTCCAGCTCTGCAATCTCCTTTTGGAGATAGAGTGATCAGAGCTGTACACAGTATTCCAAATGAGGTCCCCCCCCCATAGATCTATCCGGGGGGCATCACAACATTTATTCTCAGTCCCTTTCCTAATAACCCCAGCAACTGCGGGGCGACCCGGCGATCCAACGGAGGAGGACGGAAGATGGCGGCAGGCGAACGGGGACTGGTCCGAAGGCGCAGCGACGTGACGGCGTAGGCTCGGCTTGAGCCAATTAGGACAGAGGCCGATGCAATGCTCGTCAGTCGCAGGCGACGGAACCACCCCAGCAGGAGCCGCTACAGAGCCGAGCCACCGCACAAGCAGAGAAGAGAACCGCTGAAATAAACAACTAACCGGTAGGGTGCCTGGTAGGCATTCCCTTCCCCCAATACTGTGTGTGGCCCTAGCTAGAGAGTGTTGACTGTACTATGTAAAACCGCTCAGAACCCTTCGGGGTTTGAGCGGTCTAGAAATTGAAAGTTAATTTTTTAAAAAAAATCTGAAGGAAGGGCCAACGAGTAGTTGTCCGTCTTCCTTGACAAACTATTGTTTGTCACGCCGGAGCAAAATGTTTGCCGATAACGACCCCGTCCGAGCCTGGCGAACAATTACTTTTCATTTCAGGAAGACAAACAAACGCAGAAAGCAAGCATCTAGGTCACACGTCTGCCTGCCTATTAAGAACTGGGATCATTAAGTCGTAATTGCAAAAAGAAAACCAGCCGTGCACCACCTACGCTTGTTTGTTTGTTCCAGTGCTCCGCCTCACGTCTTCCCGGGAAAATATGGCATTTCAGACAATGCTTGCAATTAGCAGTGCGGGGCATTTGATACTCATCAACAGAAGTCACCCTGCCCCTTCCACGGCACCTCCTCCAGTACCTGGTGGGAACTCAAGGCACCTGAGAACTTGACATCATAAAAAGAGCCCTGCTGGACCAGACTAGAGGTCTACCTAGTCTAGCATCCTGTCTCATACAGCAGCCAAACACAAACAAAAAATTCCAAATCTCTCTAATTTCGTCGAATGGCCCAGTGTCTGGGCGCTTCAGAGGACTATGTGGCCCTGAGGAAGGACTGTTCTGATTGCTGGGATAAGTTTAAAGCAAATAATGATTTATTAATTAAAGAACAAAATAGGTTTCTGGGTATTTTTGAACTGTTGTTGAAGAAAGGAAATATAGCCGACAAAGCTTGGCGTCACACACAGTGTCTCACACAGCAAAACTCAACTCTGACAGGCTTATCTCTCTCATACATATATAGCCACACAGGCTAAATTCTGCCTTTCTTAGCCACGCAGGCTGAACTCCAACTTCTTCCTCTGTCGCACAGACGCTCACAAAAACTGTCCACACTCACACTCACGTCTCTTCAAGAACACAGAATCCCCTCAGACACCTCACTCCTCCCACACACTCAGTCATCAGCCAATCACATCACACTTAACTCCCTCTATCACCCTCCTAACAATAGTCCATCTAGTCCAGCATCCTGTCTCACACAGTGGCCAACCAGTTCCTCTGTAGGTCCAACGACAGGGCAGAGAGGCCAAGGCCTTCCCCTGAGAAGAACATCAGAAGAGCCTTGCTGGATCAGACCAATAGTCCATCTAGTCCAGCCTCCTGTCTCATCCTGTGGCCAGCCAGTTCCTCTGGAGGGCCAACAGCAGGGCACAGGGGCTGAGGCCTTCCCCTGAGAAGAACATCAGAAGAGCCCTGCTGGATCAGAGCAATAGTCCATTTAGTCCAGCATCCTGTCTCACACAGTGACGGGCCACCAACAGGGCACAGTCGAGGCCTTCCCCTAAGAAGAATATCAGAAGAGCCCTGCTGGATCAGATCAATAGTCCATCTAGTTCAGCATCCCGTCTCACACAGTGGCCAACCAGTCCCTCTGGATGGCCACCAACAGGGCACAGAGGTCGAGGCCTTCCCCTGATAAGAACATCAGAAGAGCCCTGCTGGATCAGACCAGTGAGGGTCCATCTAGTTCAGCATCCCGTCTCACACAGTGGTCAACCAGTTCCTCTGGAGGGCCACCAACAGGGCACAGAGGTCGAGGACTTCCCCTAAGAAGAACATCAGAAGAGCCCTGCTGGATCAGACCAATAGTCCATTGAGTCCAGCCTCCTGTCTCACACAGTGCCCAGCCAGTTCCTCTGGAGGGCCAACAACAGGGCAGAGAGGCCGAGGCCTTCCCCAGATATTGCCCTCTGGCTCTGGGATTCAAAGGTTGATCACCTCGGCATGTGGAGGCCTTCTACTTGCAAACTATGTGCTTACCCGATGTGGGAGTCCCCACTTTTGTCTCCCAAATGCTCTAGACTTGGGGGCAGAGTGATGTGGCTTGAGGTGCCTCTTTATAAACATTAATATTCATTCCCGTGCACAAATACATCCACCCTGGCTGGCCGTCATGTTGCACTTTGCCGTGAACAACCATGCATGATGTTTCTAAATTTGGGGGGACCACAGCTAGGGGATTAACCTGTTTTGGGCCATAAGCCTATGCCCTGACCTGGATGGCCCAGGCTAACCTTATCTTATCAGATCTCAGAAGCTAAGCAGGGTCGGCCCTGGTTAGGACTTGGATGGGAGACCACCAGGGAAGTCCAGGGTTGCTACGCAGTGGAAGGCAATAGCAAACCATCTTTGTCCTGATCTGGATGGCCCAGGCTAGCCCGATCTCGTCAGATCTCAGAAGCTGAGCAGGGTCAGCCCTGGTTAGGACGTGGATGGGAGACCACCAGGGAAGTCCAAGGTCACTCTGCAAAGGTAAGCAATGGCCAACCACCTCTGTTAATCTCTTTTCTATTCTTGACCTGGATAGCCCAGCCTAGCCCGATCTTGTCAGATCTCAGAAGCTGAGCAGGGTCAGCCCTGGTTAGGACGTGGATGGGAGTCCACCAAGGAAGTCCAAGGTCACTCTGCAAAGGTAAGCAATGGCCAACCACCTCTGTTAATCTCTTTTCTATTCTTGACCTGGATAGCCCAGCCTAGCCCGATCTTGTCAGATCTCAGAAGCTGAGCAGGGTCAGCCCTGGTTAGGACGTGGATGGGAGTCCACCAAGGAAGTCCAAGGTCACTCTGCAAAGGTAAGCAATGGCCAACCACCTCTGTTAATCGCTTTTCTATTCTTGACCTGGATAGCCCAGCCTAGCCCGATCTCGTCAGATCTCGGAAGCTGAGCAGGGTCAACCCTGGTTAGGACTTGGATGGGAGACCACCAGGGAAGTCCAGGGTTGCTGTGCAGAGGGAGGCGATGGAAAACCCACCTCTGTTTGTAACTGCCTTGAAAACCCTCCAGGGTCTCGTAAGCCGGCTGCAAACTGATGGCTCTTTCCACCCCCACAGTAAGTCTGTGCTGTTTCACTGACCTTGATATTATACAGAGCCCTTTACCTCCTGACGTTTTTACCTTCAGCTCGGGGATGATGGCTGCGTATCTATCCTCTCTGCAGGTCCCCTCAACAACGTAGAGCGTTCACCCTGGCCAGATGCAATGCCATGCCGTCCGCCATCTTATTCGGCAGATTCAACAAGGTTTCTCATCTGGCCAGATACTGCCCATGCAGAAAAAAATGTGTGGAGTCTATCACTCATGTTCTCCTGCATTGTAATCTGTACATGGACATAAGGATCTCATATTTACAATCTCTTTTAACCAGTATGGGTGCTTGTTCTGATACACTTAAGGTGAATAGACTTTTAAGAGATCTCAGCCCGGACATTACAGAGAAGGTGGCTAAGTTTCTCTGCTTGGCTTTAAAGGTTTGGGACGTTATTATAGCTGATAAATTGGCTACACAATTAAGTTGTGAACATATGCCAAAGAAATCAAATATTTTTGTGGAAAAATGGTATACGGTATTGAACTTTATAAATGCCGGGAAAAACAACGCTTATGATGTTCCAGGAAAATATCTTAAAATTGCACTATACTAGAAAAGTATAAGTTGGAATTGTTAAATAATCTGTAAGAGGAAAACATGATAAAAGGTGAAGGGACAGTTAAATGTTACGGAACAGGCTAAGGTTGTATACTGGTTTGTATTGTATTGTATGGATATTTTTATTTTATTGTAAAAAAGGTTGTATTTTTTGTTATATGATTGGTTGTTTTATATTAAATGAAAAAAATTATAAAATAAAATGTTTTTTTAAAAAAAAGAGAGATCTCAGCCCGGACATTACAGAGAAGGTGGCTAAGTTTCTCTGCTTGGCTTTAAAGCTGCACCAAAGGTTTTTTTAGAATTCTTATATATGTGCTTTCAACTGGTTTTAAAATGTATAAATGGTTCTGATAATGTATGCCAATAAAGGCTGACTTGACTTGACTACCTTCAGCTGTAACTGGGACTGAGACGATGCAAACAGGAACGTTAAAGCCAGCCTCACCAGAACCGAAGTTTTCGATATTTAATTACACCGAGAGAGAAAATAGTTACCGGTTTGATGGAAAGCTGATCACCGGTCACTTTCAGAATAGCGTGCTTCCTGGAGACTCGTTTATCCGTAATCTGGATAAGACAAAAAAAAAAAATGGACGTGAACAAGTGACGCGTAGAACAGCTTACGTTGGTGATCTCTCCAGAACTTAAAAAGTCATACATCTGGTACCAAAAACCATAAAAGATGCCAACCTCAAATTCATACTCGCTTTCTCCCATCATTACCCTGAAATTCACACTTCAGGGATTCCCCCCTTTATACCAACGGTTCAACTTGTGCTCAGGAGAGCATCTAGATATCCACACCTCTCTCTACTCCGCATGAAGTGTTTAAGCTACTTCGAAGAGTCCTAGAGTGGTGCTTGAAGACTTGAAAGAAATATTTGTCAATTGCAGAATATTACTTACTAGTTCTTAAATGTGATACCTGTTGCTCTCAAGAGAGCCCGTCTGATGCACTGGTTAAGTAAAGGTAAAGGTTCCCCTTGCTCGAAAGCCAGTTGAATCCGACTCTAGGGTTGCGGTGCTCATCTCCGTTTCAAAGCCGAAGAGCCAGCGCTGTCCGAAGACATTTCCGTGGTCATGTGGCCGGCATGACTAAACACCAAGGTGCACGGAACGCTGTTACCTTCCCACCGAAGTGGTACCTATTTATCTACTTGCAATTTCTTGCTTTCGAACAGCTAGGTTGGCAGGAGCTGGAACTAGAGACAGGGGCTCACTCCGTCATGCGGCACACTCGGGTCTCGAACTGCTGAACTACCGACCTTCCACAGCCTGCAGTTCAGCGTCTTAACCACGGAGTCTAATCTGGGAGAACCGGGTTTGATTCCCCACTCCTCCACTTGCACCTGCTGGATGACCTTGGGCAAGCCATAGCTCTGATAAGAGCTGTTCTTGAAAAAGAGCAGTTTCTGTCAGAGCTCTCTCAGCCCCACCTCCCTCACAGGGTGTCTGTTGGGGGGAGGAGAAGGGAAAGGAGTTTGTAAGCCGCTCTAAGACACCTTCGGGTAGTGAAGGGAGGGGTATAAATCCAATCTCCTCCTCCTCCTCCTCAAAGGAGGAGCAAATGTCTGCATTCCAAGTGCCAAGTTTTTAAGAACAATGCAGCAGGCAAAAAAAAAGGGCCGAGTCTGAAATACTGGGGGAGCGGTAATCAAATTTGTATAAGATATTTCAAAACCTACGCTGCCTAACCACGGAAGCCAGACAAAGTCTATGCACCAGCCTGCAGTTCCGCAGCAGGACTGAGACTGGTTTCCCTACGTTTCGGCTGAGAGGTAAAATGCCCTCCTAATCTCCCCTTCCTTTCAACCCTCCAGACAAGAGGGTTGGGTATACTACACGAGCCAGAGGCAAACCAACTCCCCTCTCATACTCACTCACATAGAAGTACTTACTTACGTTTATTAGCTTCTGTGGCCAAGGTCTTAAGCTCCATTACCAAACATGAATATACAGCACTAGCCTCAAGATTCGAAATTTACAATCAACATTTACAGACAAAACAATCAAATCTTAAGATTTTTGAAGCTTTACAGATAAAACTATCATGAAACATTTTGTAACAAAGTAAGTGGTTTCAGGATTAATATCTGCCAGCAAATAGGGGGCCACCCAGAGTTCAGTAGGTAATTGTTGTTTGGCAAGAACTGGAGTGATCCAAATCGACGTAGGAATCGACCAGTGATGACAAAATAACAGAAGATGGTTAAGCGTTTCCACAGTTATAAAACCCAAACATCACAATAAAAGGGTGAAAACATCTGGGAGGGGCGGAGAACTCTTCTGTATTCTAATTCTCATCTCTTGTGTGCCCCTATTGTTTCGGGGGGGGGGGGCTTTTCTATAGTGTCTTGCTCCCCCTAGCAGTTGCTTCAATATTACATCACTGTATCTCCAGCATTTTTACCGGCAGTTTAAAACTGGAGAAATCGGCTGGAGATACACTAATGTAATATCAGAGTGACCACTGGAAGGAGGAAAACACATCCAGAAAAGAAAAAAAAGAAGCAATAGGAGCCCACGAGAGACAGAAATTAGAGTGCAGAAGAGCCCGAAGAGGGGAAAGGGGGCCGTCCAAACATGGACACCAATTGTAATTCAAACAGAGAACTTGTCAGTTTCCCCCAAGGGTTATAACTGAATTGACAAGTGAGCACGCCGGCCTATCAGGGGTCTTGCCCACTTATCTGCTTGCTCACTGCTGCCTCCTGCTGGGGAAACTTTAGTCACTCCTCTTCCAGACAGATGCCAAATATGGGGAGGTTCCTGTTTGAAGTCCCTGGCTGAAAAGCACACTGTTGGTATTGTTGTACGCACCGCTTATGAAACACTTTGTACTCTGCCACTGACTAACAGTCAGTTTAACTTAGTAGGTGCACTTAACACTTCCATGGTGCATACGTTAAGTGGCTTTGATGATTCTAATCACAGTAACTGAAACCAATCATGAACATATATTCAGATATTCACTTTGGTTCACTGCTTAAATGCATTCTGGGTAAAATACCAAATGCTGACAGGCAGTAACTGACTGACCTTGCTTATAGTGGCCAGTTGTAATTGTGCATGCCCCTGATGTCATTTAGCCTACGTTAGATGAAGAACACACACCACTATGTATCCAGATCTGCTACATTAGATACTTTTAGAATTTCATAGCCCTGGAAGAAGAAGGCCCATTGTTCAACTGAAGGAGGTATATTTTTGCCTGAGAAAATCCAACCCACAGCTTGGAACCCAACCAGAGTGGTGTGACGGATATGTGACAAAGTTTGATGGAACCAACAGTTATGTTTTATTGCTAACTGTCATAGGAGGTATAAAACTTTATGTCTCCCATTGTAACCTTAGGGAAGAGCTGTGGGTACCCGAGGATTCAAAACCTTGTTGTGCCTGTATTTTCCCTCCTTTATTAATAAAGTTTTTCAGTTTGGATTCTACTCTACAAGACTGCCGCGTGCGTTCTCAAATTGGGCTGGGGGAGCACAACCCGTGACAGAGTTTCTGTATTACAGTATTGCCAACTGCAGGGGAAGAGACGAATTGGTGGCCGTCTCTGAACCAGCATTTCATTAGCAGGTATACTTGTCTGATCAGTACAGTTGCGAAGCCAGGAAGAATCGGCCGCAAGTCCTGTTTTCACATTACAGAAGTCTCCCCCACACCATTGCCTCCAGTCCCAATTACAGCCAGCTCTGAGAAACCAATTGTCTCAGTTACAACGAGGCCAGAGAACCCGATGCCTTGCTTGTGCAGAAGTAAATTGGACTTGGCTCACTTTTCACCTCACCCAAGAAGTATCAGTACAGAACCACCGTTCACTTCACCCAAAAAGTATCAGTACGAAACCAGACTCACGCATGGCTTGCGTTCATGAAACAGACTCAGGAAAGTCATGAAAGTTACTCGGTCTAAAGAGTTGGCTTCCCAAGAACATTTGCCAATCACTTTGTGGTGGATGATTTACCGGGGGGGGGGGAGTGTGGTGTAGTGGTTAAGAGGAGTGGACTCTAATCTGGAGAACCGGGTTTGATTCCCTACTCGTCCACATGCAGCTAGCTGGGTGACCTTGGGTCAGTCAAAAGTTCTCTCAGAGCTGTTGTCTCAGGAGCAGTCCTCAAAAGAGCTCTCTCAGCCCCGCCTACCTCACAGGGTGTCTGTTGTGGGGATGGGGAAGGGAAAGGAGATTGTAAACTGCTCTGACACTCCTACGGGTAGTGAAGGACGGGGTATAAATTCAATCTCTTCTTCTTCTAATTTGCAGTATTAGTTCATTGTGACCTCTAGTGGAGCAACATAGTCTCTGCATCGCATTACATGCAGAACACATTCAATAAGGCATCAAATATACACACAATCTTGCCTTGCCAGGGGTCCCCCAGCGTGGCGTGCCCTGACACATTTTTTTTTGCTGCCCACCATGTATTTTCAGGAAATGGGAGGGGCCAGATGGGGTTCTCGCCCAGAAGGGCTTCCGATTGGCTACGTAGATCGAAATAATGCTGTTTCGGTGGCAGCCGCCACCTCAGTGTTTGCTTTATTCTCTTAAAATTACTGCTCTCCTCTCCGACACGTGGGCTTCCTCGGTGTGTTGGGCCCCACCTCCTTGGGCAGCCATTTTGGGGTTGCGCCCACCACCCTGCGTCAGAATTCCAAAGCTGCCCACAGACTCAAAAAAGATCAGGGGACCCCTGACAGAGGCTAACAAAGTAATCAGATCTTGGAAGCTCAGTGGGGCTGCCCTGGTTAGAGCTTGGATGGGAGGCCGTCAAGGACAGACAAGGCGGCAACTTGCTCCGCCGAGGGGGAACGCGCCCGAACGGAGTTCCGGAACGTATTTGACAAAATTCTTTTTGGAATGTTTAAAGGTTTATGAGTTTTCAGTATACAGACTGAAAGTGTCATTTCCCTCCTGAGATTTCCAGCACTTCTTCCCCCCCTCCCAAAAAACCCCCCTGGACACAGGCAATACAATTACTATCAGCACAGGCAATACAATTACTATCAGCAGGGATCATTTTGTAGAAAAAGAGGTGCAGGAGCACATTAGCTTAACTCATTAGCATAACGCATTTGCATATGCCACAACCCCTGACATCACCGGAAGTGTGTCAGAAGGCAACACCCACCGCTCAGGTTCCACTGGACTGTTTTAGATTGCTAGCTACTGGGGGGGGGGGCGTGCAGATCTGTCCTCGCAGAGGAGGGAGAGCTTGTACCTGAATAAAACTTGGTCTTAAAGGTGCCACTGGACTGTTTTGAGCCGGGGGGAGGGGGCCCTGCAACTTACCTGGCTGCTTCTTGCTCTGACTGAGGGCTGCTGGAAGCAGGGGGTGGGGCTTGTTGCATGTACCCGCCCCCTGGGCTCTTTACTGCCGGAGCTCTGCTCCTGTGCGCTCCCACAGGAAATGACCTGTATGCCAGAAACCAGAGCTCTCCAGCTGTAGGACTGCCAACCTCTATGTAAGACATGGAGCTCTGGAATAACAAGTGAACTTCAGACTAGGGAAGTGCATTCAGTTCGTCCGAACCAAATGCACCCATGAAAATGGCCCATTTGGACC